CTGCATTGGGGTAAACAAAGGTTGCATTGTTTTTATCCTATGAGTGTCACAGGGGTATCGTCACTGTCACAGCCTGTCCTTACCTGTCATGGTCTGCATTGGGGTAAACAAAGGTTGCATTGTTTTTATCCTATGAGTGTGACAGGGGTATCGTCACTGTCACAGCCTGTCCTTACCTGTCATGGTCTGCATTGGGTTAAACAAAGGTTGCATTGTTTTTATCCTATGAGTGTGACAGGGGTATCGTTACTGTCACGGCCTGTCCTTACCTGTCATGGCCTGCACTGGGGTAAACAAAGGTTGCATTGTTTTTATCTTATGAGTGTGACAGGGGTATTGTCACTGTCACGGCCTGTTCTTACCTGTCATGGCCGGCATTGGGGTAAACAACGATTGCATTGTTTTTATCTTATGAATGTGACATGGGTATCGTCACTGTCACACCTGACACATTTAAGAGTAAGATGGTGTCATATATCTGTGAGAGAAGATGCTCTGAAACTAAGCCAAGTAGAGTGCCCTGGCAGTGCAGGGGTATAAGAAATTTATACCTTCTCCCATTAAACGTGTGTTGTTATACAGTAAAACCACATTTGAGTGAACTCAACTTTTCCCTAAAGAAATCTTCCTGGAGGACCAGAGAGGACCATCCAGCCAGAGCTTATCCTGTTCCCACAGCATGAAGCAATTAGGAGTGTTTCTACTTCCCCCTGGACAGGATGCAAGTTGCAAGGTCATCCCTTGGCAATTCATCTGGCTTCCCTGACCAGTACCCATTTATACTCTGCTGCAGCTAGGAGCAACTGTGAAACTAAAGTGTCTTATCCAGGAATGCAATGCATTGATCTGGCAGGTCTCGAATCTAGACCCCTGACCCATTGTCCCAAAAGGTCGCACAAACTGATGGTAGGGGCTTAAGGTTAAAAGTAAGTTGGAACAATTCAATAGACCCTGTCAAACACTTTGCGATAAATTCTCACACCCTTTCTTCTACCTTAAAATGATAAATCTGCAAACTTTTTTTACAATCTAGGAGCCTGAATAAGACCCCTTTGCAGTAAGCATTCCTTTGCCCCTTTTCTACTATCAGTTGTAGCTAAGGGTAGAAGGGTGAGAATTTCCCAGTACCCATACCCTAATCTCTTACATGCCTCTTCTTTGACTACCATATCTTGCATCATAAGGAAATAACGGAAATATCTACTTCTTTGGTTGTTTAACCCCTTTAACCCTTTACATACACCCGAACATTAGTATTAAAATTCTCTACACTGTTCTCTTTTCATTTCCTTTGGTAATGACAAGAAGAATTTGTGTCACGATCAACACCTAAACTTGTGATCATTTCCTATATTCTCATAACCTTTAAATTTCATTCAAGGGTGACATGTTAAGGAGAAATTGTATGTTCATCACTCAGGAGCTCAAGGGTTAAAAGAACTTGCTGAGGGATTTAATTATGGAGATCTCAAATGAGTCTGTCAGACAAAAATTTGTGGATAAAGACTAGTGACTGGTGATGCTATGCTTCTGGGAGGGCTCATCATTAAGAGATTTTTATGANAGTTAAAATGGCGTTATTTTGCTAAGGTTTACTCACGTTTTAGCCGCGAC